TCTCCTTAGGCCGCGCAGCGTCGGTTCCGCGGCTCACAGTAGGCCGTGGCCAACAGGTGGACGAAAATAGTTACGCAGCCGAAAGAAGTAGCTTTGAACGCTGTTGGACACCACATAGTACAGTTAGACATATTCCTGGCGTTTATTTCACCTGTGCGGTTTCAAGACTGATGAAAATAACGTATTGGTCTTCACAGCACCGTGAAGTGGTGCTGGAATCTATTTGTGGAACTGCATGAGCAAAGGTAAAATTATATTTGCCGCGTTGCTCTAACTGTTAATCTTTCCAAAGGACAGCCTCAAAGTTGTAAATAAAAGATCCACCCAGTGTAACCATTGATCCGTGCGAATTAATTTCGAATGACATTCCGAAACATTTTTTTTTACCAGTCATTATTATGGGCTCGGGGCCCGCCACCTGGCCGCCGCCACCTGCAGTGGCCAACGCCGGTCGGTGTTACGGAAACCGCGACCCAAACCATCGCTTTCATTGCTCCCCGAGATTACGGGCGTGTCATCAGGGCTTGATGACGTACTCAGCTGCTGGCGCTACACGGTGCCGCGAGCCTCTCACCCTGATGTGAAGGGTGGGCACCGCGGGAATCGAACCCCGTACCTGTGGTTTCACGGACGCGTAGTGGTTAACGCAGTCGCGTTAACGAGTACACTGTCGGCACTCGGCGCGCAGGCTCAAACCTTATGATGGTGTTTGTCTCGCTAGTCGATTCTGCAAAATAACGTACGTTCTCAGGGAAACATGGGATGGCCTTGTGAGTTTTAAGCTCTTTTCGACCCACTCCATTCAGTACTAATGATACCTCTTGTTTCCTTCCGGTAAAGGGCTCCCTTGAGAACAACGCTACGGGGCACATTGTTGTTCCCGGTCAAGAGCTGAAGGGCCATTCTGTCCCATCGCGGTGTGTTCTCTGGCGGTCATTCTGGCGACACGGGGCTGCATGCCTTGGTCGACCTGGAGGCCCGTAGAGGGATACATAATACCACATTGGTCAGCTCCCTGACGCGAGAGGCCTTCTGACCCGCGCAGTTGACTCTGGATTGATGCATGAACCTCATTAAGGCTACAATATCCCTGCTCACCGCAGGCGGTCAGAAAATTGGCACAGACTCCAGCTGGGCTTAGCGGGCCCATGTTAAAAAAGGGTTGGAAGGCCCACCGTCATTTCACAAATAAATGTCTAGGCAGTCTTGTATGCAGACCCTCCGTCATTCGGGATCCCGTCGCTGTTGAAAAAATCTTCCCCTGATCGATTCGAGGCCCCTCGTTGGCACCAAATACCCTGCGAGGCACTGGGGGACCCTGAACGATGCAGGAGCCCGACCGATGTAAATGGCAGGCCTGGCCTTGTCCCTGCTTGGGAAGTGGACCAGCAGAGCTCAGACCAACAAGAAGCTGACTGTTCGTTGTTCGTGATGTCTGGCCGAAATAGAGGAACGTTACGCCTCGGGGGTCCCTATCGGTGCAAAAGATCATCTTACTGACATTTGGGATCACAGCTCTATGGGCGGGGGTCCTTAATGTCACTTACAGCCAGCCCTTTGGACCCTTTAGCCATCCTATCGGGCCTTTGATCTTTGGCCTCAAAAGACCCTTCGGCCCCTCTTCGAGCCCCTCAAACACCGCTCCGACTCAGGGCCACTTGCCGCCACAGGACCCCTGTTCGGCACTGTGGCCCCTAACCGACACAGGAGTCCCTTATTGTGTCAGGGACCCCAACATTGCAAATCGCGGGCCTCGACCTCGTTTCTGCTGGAGAAATATGTCTCAATGGCTCAGACAGACATGGAGCCGACTGTTCGGTGTTCGTGGTCTCTGACCAACTCAGATAACCGTATTGTTTGAGGGTTTCCTAAAACGGTACAAGAGAACCCCTGACTGATATTTAGGTCACGACCCACGGGTTGTGATTCCTTATGTGACCTACAGCCAGCCCTTCGAGCCCTTATGCCCTCCAGCCGGGCCTGTGATAGTCGGTTCCGGTGGGTCGCCCGGGCCCCCCTTTGGGCCTCATCAAACACTTTCCTCGGTCGGGTCGGGTCCCTCGCGAGCATAGGACCCTCTGTTACGTGCTGTGGGCCCCTGACAGGTACAAGGCCCCCGACCAGTATAAATCACTGACCCCCGGTCCTCATGCCCCTACCGACAGGGAACCGACTATGTGGTACGGTGGTACTTGGCCGACATATAGGCCCATGTCGGCTCAGGGGATCTCCGATCGGTGCGAAGGGCCCTCTGGCCGTTATTTGAGGGTCTGTCTTTGCAGGTCTGGGCTCCTGAATAAGACTCCGACCAGCCCTTTATGCCATTAGACCTTCCAATCGGGCCCTTGATAGTCGGACCCGGTGGGCCCTCTAGGCTCTTTGAGTCTTCTCAAACACTGCCTCTGACTGACTTGGGGCCCCTTGACAACATAGAGCCCCTGTTAGGCAATGTGGGGCCCTAGCAATGCAAGTCGGTGTTTCCGGCTTTGTCTCTGCTTGGGAAGTGGGCTCCTAGGCCCATGCCGCCACGGAGCCGACTTTGCGTTACTGGTGGCGTCGGATCGAAATATAGACCCTTATCGACTGATCAGTGCGCAAGGCCCTTTGGCTGGCATTTGAATGCCCGGTCCTGCCGGCCGGGACTCCTGAATGAGACCTCTGGCTGGATTTTCGGGGCCTTTGGGCCCGCAAATCGGGCCCGTAATTGTACAGCCCGAGGGACCTAAAGGGCCCCTCGGGACCTACAATTGCCAGCGCAATTGCACAAGTGTCCCTGTGCTCCCCCCCCCCCCCTCCCCCCTCTTTGCCTGCTCTACTGATCTCTTCTAAGCTTTGTGTAGAGCGTCGAGTGAGAGGGAAAGTGTGGTGCTCCAAATTTTGTTATGGTGCAGCAGCAGTTACGTCCAAAAGTGGCGAGTATGTGACATTCCATTTCCCCGGGCATTTCACGTCTTGGCGCGTTCTCGCTACCTGGGAGTGCAGTGGTTGTCGCTTGCCGCGTATAGGACCATCACAGGGCTATGCGTTGCCAGTAATTCTATTGCCCTGCGCGTTGCCGTAAACCGGTGCGCGTTTACGCGGTGGAGCTGAGCGCAGAAGATGTAAGTTGCGTGTATTGTAAATTGGTGCGTGCAGGGCTTTTGAGTGTTGTTCTTCACTGGATGGGCGTAAAGCCCGATGGTTGGGACCAAGGGCCACTTGTATACTTTCGGTGAGGGGTCGAGCACCCCACCCCACCCCTAATATTAACTCGATCCCCCTCAGTGTTCTTCCAGTCACCCCTGTCAAGGGATCACTGGAAGAACACTGAAGAACACCCCTGTCAAAGCAAAAAGGGAATACTGGACCAAGGAAATGCTGCAAGTGTCTGGACTGCTGGTACACTAGGTACCTTAATACTTTGCTACCATTGTCATTTATCATTTCTCATCAGTGTCCAATATGCAGTTGGTAGTTATTCCTCAACATCAAGTTAATTATGGAACTAATCAGATATGTGTTTTGTTTTAATTTTGCACTTTTATGGTCTAAAAAGTGATCAAAATCTTGGGAAATCAGGGTTGGGGGCAAGTCAGGTCAACTCAGTTTGCCCAGGCCCCCAGCAAATTTCAGAAAGTGACACTCCAGATGAGGGTGATTTAAATCTAGATCTCTGTTATGTACACACTTTGTCCCCATGCCTACAAAATGATGCGGACAGGTTGGATGGAGTGTGGTGGATATCAAATAGGATGATGAATATGACTGGAAACTTAACATGCAAGGATATGCTTAAGGCCTTTGAGTTGTTTTCACTGTAATGTCATAGACATAGAAGGGCTCTGATATAGATATTCCAGATCATCAAAGGAATAGATAGGGTAGATCTACAAGGAGCACTGGAAATTAGGCTGAGACTTAAAGGAAACCAGATTCAGGTAGCAAAATCAGGGGCAGATTTATGAAGAGACAGATGTCATTTAGCCAAAGAGTAGTGAGTCATTGGAATGGACTACCAGACAAAGGTGCAAAAATTGAGAAGTCCCTCTCTTGCAATGTTTAAAAATATCATGGCAGGTTTTGTTCTTGTAAGGGTCTTGTTTAACTAAATATTTTTATTTAGCTAAATCTAGACAGGTCAGGTGGCAAGATTACTGGTGAGGATGTGGGCAGAACCTGAGGTAGACTAACCTTGGTAGCTTTCAACATCTGGGGAGATGCCCATGCTAGGTACATTTTTGTGTGTTATTTTTAGTCATATGTCACTATTCATTCAACCCCCTCACCTGCCCAACATATTTTGTAAAACTATGCCCTCTGTGAGTGATTTAGACTTTGTCAGGCATTTGCACTAATAGCTACAAAAATGTGTACATGCACCCCCTCCGTTAAACATAATGCAAAGTAGATGACATGAGTTGGTGTACCTCAGACTTCAACCTTGTAAACTGCTCACAATGCCTGTTTGTTTCAGAGCCAGCAGTGAAGGCAGCAGAGCCTGTTGGTTCCTATACAAAGGAGGTGATGGGCAGCCTTCTGTAGTGTAAGCAAGTCACAGCAACGCAGAGTCACAATGGGCCGTAAGACTCCTCTACAGGGCAAGCCGACGCCCAGAAAAGGGGATCGACCTGCACTGACCGTGCTCCGCAGTCCACCGGTCCTGGAGAAGGGGCAGCAAACTCTGGCCATGTTCTTGGCCGGTAAGGGCACCTCCAAGACTTCCTCCCGTTGTTCCATCTGCGAAAAGACCATCGACGTGTCGCTGATGAGTAAGCATCGCCAAACTTGCGCGGCGTCCGCCGACGACTCGGACGTGGAAATTATCGCCGAGATTAAGTCGCCGGCGACGAAGCCGAAGGCGGCGGCAGTTTGCCGGGCCGCCGCCTCGCGGGCCGCGCGGAACGGCAGCCCGGCCTCGCCCCTGCCGCACGCCTCGCCCTCCGTCGCTGGCTTCGCCTCCGTCGCCGCCTTCGCGCCTTCGTTCTGCGAGCCCGTGCTGGAGGCGGACGAGTGCAGTGCGGATGCGACACCGGGCGCGCGTGACCCCGTGACCCCGAGCCCGGCCTCAGGGGGCGAGCGGAGCGGCCAGCGCCGGCGGCCAGCCGCGGCCGCCCCCAGCGCTGCTGAAGCGCCAGCCGGCGACTCGCTGGGCGCGGACGGCGGTGCGACCCGGCCAGGCGGGCGGCTGCGACTGTCTGCGGCCGTGCCGCGACACGTCGGTCGGTTTGCGCACGCCAGTCTGCTCTCAGAACACCGCACCTCAGCCAGTCCCTCTCCGGCCAGGGGCAGGGGTGCCACAGGCTCCCCTGGCTCGGCCCCGTCGTCCGGTGCCTCTAGCGGCCGGCGGGCGGCGTCGACTCAGACCACGCCAAAGCGACTCGGCAAGAACAGCCCTGTGCGCCTCCCGAAGTCGCCGTCCAAGATCAGGCGGAGGCTGTACGGCCCGCCGGCTGCGGCCTCGGACGGCCCCCCGCCGCCGCAGGACCGCCCGGCAGAAGGCAGTGACGGACCCGCCGTGGTCACACCGCACCCGTTGGGTACGGAGCTGTCGAATCGGACCGAGGCGCCGGAGGCGAGGTTGACGAATGGCGAGCTCGTGTCGGACGAGGCGGAGCGGAGGCCCAGGGCGCTGCCGCGCCTGTCGAGTGACGTCACTGCGGCGACCGCGAGCGGCGCAGACTCCACCGACGTGCAGGAGGAATTTGACGAGGAGGATGAGCGGCTGCTGTCGCAGGAGTTCAGTCAAGAGGTTCCCGAGGCGCTTGGACTGGCGTCGCCGCAACAGCACAGCATTCCCTACTACCTGCAGAACTTCCTCTTCATTCTGGAGTCGGTGCAGGGCGACCCGCTGAACAGACCGCTGATCAACGCCGATGACACGGACGTCATCTGCCGCTTCAACGGGCTGCCGCTGCCGGCGCAGATGCTGTACGTGCGCCTGTTCCAGCGCAAGCACGGCTGGCTACGCTCCGACCGGCTGCGCTACGCGGAGGTGGGCGGCGAGGCCGAGCTGCGCGCGGCGGTGGTCCAGCTGACGAACGCGGCGCTGCTCGACTCGGAGCGCGCGCTGGTGGGCGCCGCCGAGCTGACGGCGCTGCTCGACAACCCCGAGCTGCGCCAGCTCTGCCAGCAGCTGCACCTGACCGCTAGCGGACGGCGCGACGCGCTGCTGGAGCGGCTGGCACAGCACGGCCAGCGTCAGCGCCTGCTGCCCGGCCTGGGCTCGGCGCACGGCGTGGTGGAGCGACGCGCGCGCGCCCTGCTTGGCTCGTGCGTGCGCCTGGCGGCCGGGCCGCGGCGCGTGCTGCTGCGCGTGCTCAGTCTGTTCTCAGTGCCGCTGTACGAGGAAGACGAGGACACGAGCCAGCAGCTGCTCACGCTGCTCATGGTCAACCTGGGGCGCATGGTGTATCCGGCCGTCACCGTACGCAAGAGCACGGCTATCTTCGGCACGCGCGACGACCTGCTGCGCTACGAGACGGCGAGCCGGCTGGAGCGTGATGTGCGTGCTGCCATGGCCGCCAAGCAGTGGGAGGAGGCGTACCAGGGCTACCTAGCCTCGCGTGACATGTGCGTTGAGCTCTCGCGCGACGCCGCCATCGAGCGCTTCGACGCCGCGCTCCCGCCGTTCCTGCGCAAGTTCACGGCCGTCTCCATCCTGATGTACGTCTGGACCAAGGGCGTGGAGCTGCTGCAGCGGCGCAAGGACTACGAGGGCGCCGTACGCCTGCTGCGCGCCCTGCTTGCGCAGCGCACCTACCTGCCCGACTACCGCGGCTTGTGGCACGACCGGCTGGCGCTGAACCTGCAGCAGCACCTGCGGAGGCCTGACGAGGCGCTGGCGGCGGTGCGCGCGGCCCTGGACGACCCGGCCGTGCGCGTCGGCCGCCGGCTGGCGCTCGAGCAGCGGCTGGTGCGACTGGCGCCGGGCGTGCCTGCCGCCCTACAGCCGGCCGATCTGCCCAGCGTGGAGGTGGAGGCGCGCTGCCTGCCGCGGGACGTGCCCGGCCTGAAGATGGTGTTCCTGCGGCCGGAGGGGGGCGGCGAAGCCAGCGACGTCACCGTGTGCTCGGTGGAGGAGCTGGCGCTGCATCACTACGCCTCGCGCGGCTACGACGAGGGTGTACACCGCGAGGCGGCGCCCACCACCACGCTGTTTGCGCTGCTCTTCTGGGACTTGCTGTACGAGGTGGACGTGGCGGACAGCTTCCGCAGCCCGTACCAGTCACTGCCGCTGGACCTGAACTCGCCGGCGTTCTACGAGCGGCGCCGGACGGGCGTCGAGGCACGCCTGGCCGAGCTGGCGGCCGGCTCCGCCGACGACGCCTGCGACCGCCTGCGGGCCGCCTGGCAGGCGCACGAGGGCTGTGTGTCGCTGGCCGCCTGGGATGTGTTCCGCGACTGCGATCACGCAGAGGGTCTGCTCCGCTGCCTGGGCGTGCCACTCGTGTGCGCCATCTGTCGCCGGCTCGCAACGGAGTACAGGTGGGTGGCCGTGGCGCGAGGCTCGGTGGGGCAAGCCCTCAACGGCCCGCTGGCGAGTGTGCGGCGGCGGCCGGGAGGAGCTGATTAAGGCAAGTCTAACCAAGGTTGTCTGGCGTGTGTGTGGCGGCGGCCGGGAGGATCTTATAAAGGTAAGTCTAACCAAGGTTGTCTGGCGAGTGTGCGGCGGCGGCCGGGAGGAGCTGGTAAATCTAAATCTAACCAAGAAACAGGTGTTGCAGTATTTACCAGGCACAAATCGCAACTGTCGGAACTTGTTTTGTTGCAGAAGACAAAGGCCGCCAGCTTTGTTGTATGCCGGGGATAGTTTATGTTGATTTGAAAAAGTGGCTCGTCCCGTAATCGTGATCAACGCAACGTGACAGATTATATTTGTAATTATCTGCATACCGGTGCATGGCTTTCAGCTGGTGGCGTTCAATATAATCGCTACGCGAGGTGTACTATTGTAGTCTACGTTAAAAACCCAATATAATTGACAACCCACTGTAACGAACGCCCCAAAATGGCTAAACACAGTTTGATTAGTGGCGTGCGCCGCACATTTCTGTTCGTGGTGAGCATTGCGCCTTCTTTCGATCGGTTCATATTTTCGTCCTGTGTTAAGGCCCATCTTGTGCTAGAGTATACCGGGAAGTGCCTCGGGCCTGCTGTTCCCCGACTACTGGATCAACTGCGGTGCATTCATTGGTTTTGGCTGATCATTCTTCTTGTTGTAATTATTAATGCTGCGCTTCGCTTATTTATGGTTGATCAGCTCTATACTAGGGTGTAACCACTGGGAAAGGTCGTGTCTCTTCTAGCTTGCAAAGTGGGTGTTTGTGCCCCCGTCCTCTGCTCACAGTGTTCCCCAAAGACTGCTCCTTTTTCACGTTCTTTGGATTTAAAGCGACATTTTCAGGTCCAGTATCCTCGCCAGATTTCAGGTCAGCCCCCCGTCCCCCCATCAAACCTATCTGTTTTCCATTATTAGAAACGTGCTTACACCCTTAGCTCTTTAGATATAAGACCAGCCGTTGGCCGGCTGTTTGCAGCATTGAAACGCTCCGGGCCCTCACAACGTTGGACATTTGTGCGCTGTCGTTATCCCGCTGTACGCATGTGTGCTGTCCCCGTTCTGACCGACAGGCGATGTAAGCCTGGGCCGGCCGCCAGTCGCTGCCAGCGTCGGTCCACCGGCCGCTCGCGGGTCAGAGCGACGGCGGCCGCTCATCACCGCTGCGCCGTCTGCGGCCGACAGGTTCACGCGCAGCGGCTTCCCCGACCTGGTGCTCTGGAGCCCGGCCAATGGCACGGCCCGCATCGTCGAGGTCAAGGGCCCCGGCGACCAGCTCTCCACCAAGCAGATGCTGTGCTGCAGTACCTGCTCGAGCACGGCGCCGCCGCCGAAGTGTGCTACGTGAGGGCGGTGGGCGCGCGCCGCGCCGCCGGAGCCAAGCGCAAACCGACGACGTCCGGCGGCCGGGCTGCCAAGAGATCTGCCGCGCCGTCGGAGGGGGAGGAGGAAGAGGAGGCGGCCAGGGGTGGCGAGCCGACGCCGCAGCCGGCCGGCCGGCGGGCCGGTCAGCGGAGTAGCAGAGGTGCAGATCCGGTGAGCGGTGGGTTCGCGAGTCGGGGAAACGGCAGGAGTGCCGGTGGGAGGAGCGGCAGAGGCTCGAGTCGGGGGAGCGGCAGGGGTGCCGGTGGGGGGAGACACGGCGGCTCGAGCCGGCGCAGAGGGAGTGCTGGGGGCGCGGCTCGACGGAGGGGGACGGACGCTGGGCAGTCATCCGGAAGTGATTTCGAGTGACGTCATGTGATGCACGCTGTGATTTACACGATTCTGGTCTCCGCGCTGCCATCTTGTTACACGATGTTTACATCATGGATAATGATAGTGTGCGTGTGATGTGTGTGCGTGTGATGGATAATGATAGTTGCGGGCGCGCGCGCGCGGTTCCACATGCATAAGAGCTGGCTCGCTGGGTATTGCTTTCACTCAAGGTTACCATTGGTGCCTGCACGCTTCCGTGATGCTTGGTGAGGCCCGGGTACGTCATGGAACGCGCATTGTAGATGTGCTGGATGTGTTACTATGGACACAGTCATTGTCCAACGTCCTGGCGCCAGCTTCATATAGATCGCGTTAAATGTGTGCTCGCAATTGTTTCATACTGAAGCATGCCGTTACGCAATCATCCACCTGGCTGTTGACATGGTACAATTCACGCATGATTCGTCAACATGTGGGCATTTTCAACAATTGATGAAGATGTGCTGTTTATTGAAATACCAGATGTACCTTTCGTTCTTTATTACTTGTCTATCTACCAGCAGATATTGGAGCAAGTAAAGACAGGCCACTGATTTTGGATACCATCATACCAGTCGGTCGCGTGCGGCTTTGTGAAATGGTGCTGCCGCTCGCGCATATTTCACCACGGGGTCGGCATTTGTAGGAATGTTAGGCATTCTTTTACATTCTTGAGAAGTATTATTCCCCGACATGCCTAATAGCGACTGTCATCTCGGAGAACACGTTATTTGCTCACGACTGCCCCGTTGATGTCGCCATGTGCGGCGTTTCGCGTGTTCCTCAGTGTAAACCGAGTCCTTATTCTGCCCTCGTTGCCAGCCGCGCAGTCCGCGCCCAGGGCGTGCGGCGCAGTCTCCAGCGAGCGCGCGCCTGTCGGCAGGTCGCCCCGATGGAACCGCTCGTGGTCCTCTGAGGACGCGGCACTGCTCCCCCCGGGCGGCGCACTCCCCTGCCCTCGCTCCCGCATGACGAATTCACGCATGATTCAATATGTGGGCAATTGTCACCGTTTTATGAGGGATGTGCTGTTGATTGAAATACCAGACGCAACATTCGTTCGTTATTACTTGTCTATCTACCAGCAGGTATTGGAACAATTAAAGGTAGGCCACTGATATGTGGATACCATTATAGTCGGTCTTATGTTGGTATCGCGTGCGGCTTTGTGAAGCGGTGTTGCCTCTCGCGCATATTTCACCACGGGGTCGATATTTGTGCATACATGTGCGTCATTCACATTCCTAAAAGCCCCTTCATACCAAGTCCAGCGTCGCGTTGAATAATCCATGATGGCGGCATTTGGCCATGCACTGTACACGAGCGCACTATATTTCCCATAGAAGTGCTTTAAATGTTAAGCAATTGTTTTAGGTGGCAGAGGCTCGAGTTTTTACACTCGTGAAAAGCATTCTTCCCCGACAGGCTTAATAGCAGCCGTCATCTGAGATAACACGTTATTCGCTCACGACCGCTTCGTTAATGTCACCTGGCGCGGCGTTGCGTGCGTTCGTCAGTATAAACCGAGTCCTCACCCGGGCCTCATTGCCAGTCGTACAGCCTGCGCCCAAGGTGTGCAGTGCAGTCTCCAGCGAGCGCGCGCCTGTCGGCAGGCCGACCTGGTGACGCCGCGCGTGGTCCTCTGAGGCAACGGCACTTGCTTACGGCGGGCGGCGCGCTCCCACAGCCTCGCTCCGCCTCGTCGGTCCCTCCGAGCGCGGCGCGTCGGCCGTTTGCCGCCGGTGCTGCCATCTCTGGGCCGGCAGGTGCAGCCCGACCGACGCCCGTCGCGCGACAGACGTAGCAGGGCGGCTAAAAGCAGCAGATAGCCGAGCAGGCCGACGCCGGCGCCGGCCAGCAGAGCCGGCCAGCTGTACTCGGTGGTGTACTTGAGCACGCGCCGCGCCACGTGCCGCTCCAGCGCCTCCTCGGCCCGGCGCGCCATCTGGGCCAGGTCCGGCGGCAGGTCGAACGGGGTCGCTCGACGACGAAGCACCAGCGTTGCTAGGTCACGGAGCAGGTCGAGCGGGGACGCCCGACGGTGGCGGCCGCTCCGATATCTTCCGCGTCGCCACAGCGCCTTCGGCCGTGGCGGCGCGAACCGTGCACCCGTGTCCGGACCCGCAGGTCCCGCCCGCTGGCGGGTGCCCGTCGCCGCCGTCGCCCGTCGGTGGACGGACACAGCCCCAAGCCTGCAGCCCTGACCTGGGCCGCCGGCGCGCTGGCGGACGGTGCGGCGGAGCGTCAGCCGTCCGCGGTCGTCGTTCGAGATGTGCTGACGCGAGCGGATCTTGAGTCTCGGGACCGGGTCAGTCATCTGGTTGGGCTTCGATGACGCAGATTTGGGGCGAACCCAGCGGGTTCTAGGAGGTGTGTCGAAGTCTGGGGAGTTGCCGATGATAGTGGGAGCTACTTCGGAGTCTGACCGAGCTCGAGGGCGGATGGTAGAGACATCGGAGGCCTGCGGAGTGCCGGGGTACGTGGGTGGCTTTGAGGAGGCCCTGACAGAACGCCGGGGAAGACACACCACAACCGGAGGAGCGAGAGTCAGCCACAGCAGTGAAACTCCAGCCGCACACAACGTCTGACCTGGCATCGTGCCAGCAATGGCTGTAGCCCAGTGGCCGAAACACATGGACTGAGATTCAGTCGTCAGATCCCGGGTCAGCATCCACAACAGAGAAGTGCATGTTCACAGCAAGGAAGGTGACTTGCGGCCACGTGAGCCATGGCCACCTCATCAGACCGCTGGACGAGATTAGAAGCACGTGGCGTCACCCACACGTTCCGATCATCTCCCGTGCGCTCGTGGGGCTGCTGCACGCGGCGGCGTTCCTGTGACGCGGTGACGCGGCGGGGGTCCTTACTCGAACCGATTCTCCTCGGCCATCTTCTGGGGCCACCAGCGCAGACTTCCACGTGTATTACGCACGTTTACACACTTAACAGACGCGCTACCAGTACACCTGGTCGCCTCAACTCAAGGGTACAGACTGGCACGTCACTGTGGCTTCGCCGGCGCCGGTGGGAAGGGGAGGGGACGCACCCGACCAGCTCCTTTCCGGCCTCCTCTGTGCTGCTCCTTCTCTTCAGCACCGTGTACGGCTCGGCCTCTTCAGCACCGTGCACTGCTCCACTTCTCCCGACCAAGCACAGCACCACCTCTTCAGCACCGTGCACAACTCCAACTCCTCAACACCGTGCACAGCTACCGCCTCTCCAGCGCACCCGCCACTCTAGCACCGTGCACTTCTCCGCCTCTCCAGCACCGTGTACAGCTCCGGCTCCCCCGCACCGAGCACAGCACCGCCTCTTTAGCACCGTGTACAGCTCCACCTCTCCAACACTGTGCACAGCTCCACCTCTCTTGCACTAAGCACAGCTCCGCGGCGGTGGCATCGAGACTGGTGGCCGCGTGCGGATGCACACAGCTGATCGGCGCTACTCTGCTGACGAACCTGTCCTATCTGGCCGTCTTGGACCTCCCAGGGCTCGGCTCCGCTCGCGGAAGTCACCGGAGCACGCCGCTCGAGGGAGAGTGCCGTGTCACGCGGCGAACACGGCAGGGCCGATCCAGGCGACGGTCTGGGCGAGCACCGACGGAGAACACAGCCGAGCTTGCGGCGGTGTGCAGTGGAGGACTTCACCGGCTGGGTAATCTCGTCGGTGCCCAAATGGAATGGGTGGCGAGCTGGGTTGGGTGCAGATTTGAATGGAAGTTGTGGAGATGGTTACGCGCAAGTGAAAGGCGTTTTCTGATCAGTAGCAATGTGCAGTATTTCTTCGAGAAGATCAAACATTTGCTCTTCTGGTATTCATCATAAGCTTTATTAGAGCGGCATTCTACAGGTTGGGACAGAGAAAGCTTTTCTGAGCCGTTTCCATAATGCAGAACTAAAATGATGGATAATTCTGTACGGGTGCCTAGCCGGCCGGCCGACCTAGTTACGAATGGGTCTTGGGGGTATAGGCAGGTCTCCATGGTAGCAGGTGAATTGGGTAAACTCTTACCCATCAAATCCTCCAGTGTGCGGTGCATCGCGTCGAAAGTTGGCGCGCCGTCAGGCTTAGTCAGCTCTGTTTGTGCTTATTTGCCGATATTGTGCTGATAGTGGGCGGTCTTGGGCTACTTGTCACGCCTGCCTTATCGCCGCGCTTTCCCGATAGATGTCGTTGGTATGTTTATTGGCTTAGCAGATTGGCAAGCGCTGCTGTCATTGGTGCCGACACCCCTGACTTTAGTGGAATTGGGCTCATGAAAGCTCTCGGACGCGAAATGGCTGGAGCAAGGTGCAGAGGCATCAGCCTGACTTCTCGGACATTCAGGCACGCCCAGGCGATGCGACAGCCGTAACAGAGCCCGGGAACGCCCACTATCCGGCAAATCAGCACAGAGTCGACTAAGCTCGACGGCGCACCAACTATTGGCACGATGCACCGAACACTGCATACTTTGATTGGCGAGAGTCACTTTACCTAACCCATCTGCTGCTCGTGGAGACGTGCGTACACCCCCCAAGGCGCATTCCTAAGTAGGCCAATCAGCCCGTTACTCACCCGTATAGATTTATCCACCATTTCAGTTTTAGGCGATGTAAACGTTTCACAGCAGTTTACTTCCTGTCCACCACACGACGTAGAATGTAGCCCAAATGTAGCTAATGATGCATAATAGAAGAGCAAATGTTTGCTCTTCTTCAAGAAATCCTGTGTAGTGCTCCTCTTCCATCAAAATGTGTAGCATTTGTTAAAGCATTTCCCGGACATTTCAAAAACGCCTTTCACTTGCGCGTAACCATCTCCACAATTTCCATTCAAATCTGCACCCAACCCAGCTCGCTACCCATTCCATTTGGGCACCGACGAGATTACCCAGCCGGTGAAGTCCTCCACTGCACACCGCCGCCAGCTCGGCTGTGTTCTCCGTCGGTGCTCGCCCAGACCGTCGCCTGGATCGGCCCTGCCGTGTTCGCAGCGTGACACGGCACTCTCCCTCGAGCGGCGTGCTCCGGTGACTTCCGCGAGCGGAGCCGAGCCCGGCGAGGTCCAAGACGGCCAGATAGGACAGGTTCGTCAGCAGAGTAGCGCCGATCAGCTGTGCACATCCGCACGCGGCCACCAGTCTCGATGCCACCGCCGCGGAGCTGTGCTCGGTGCGGAAGAGGCGGAGCTGTGCACGGTGCTGGAGAGGTGTGGCTGTGTACGGTGCTGAAGAGGAGGGGCTGTGCACGGTGCTGGAGAGGTGAGGCTGTGCACGGTGCTGAAGAAATGGAGCTGTGCGCGGTGCTGAAGAGGCGGAGCTGTGCACGGTGCTGGAGAGGTGAGGCTGTGCACGGTGCTGAAGAGATGGAGCTGTGCGCGGTGCTGAAGAGATGGAGCTGTGCGCGGTGCTGAAGAGGCGGAGCTGAGCACGGAGGCGACCAGAAGGGAGTTGGCGGGTGCGTCCCCTCACCCTTCCCACCGGCGCCGGCGAAGCCGCAGTGACGTGCCAGTCTGCACCCTTGGGTTAAAGGCGATCGGATGCACTGGCGGCTGCATGGCTCAAGTGCGTAGACGTTCAAACTACTTAACGGTTACCACACACGTGGAAGACCGCACTGATGACATAAGATTATGGCCGACAAGATTCGGTTCGAGTAAGGACCCCCGCCGCGTCACCGCGTCACAGGAACGCCACCGCGTGCAGCAGCCCCGCGAGCGCACGGGAGACGGTCGGAACGTGTGGGTGACGCCACGTGCTTCTAATCTCGTCCAGCGGTCTGATGAGATGGCCATGGCTCACGTGGCCGCAGATCACATTTCTTGCTGTGAACATGCACTTCTCTGTTGTGGATGCTGACCCGGGATCTGACGACTGAATCTCAGTCCATGTGTTTCGGCCACTGGGCTACAGCCATTGCTAGCAGGATGCCAGGTCAGACGTTGTGTGCGGCTGGAGTTTCACTGCTGTGGCTGACTCTCGCTCCTCCGGTTGTGGTGTGTCTTCCCCGGCGTTCTGTCAGGGCCTCCTCAAAGCCACCCACGTACCCCGGCACTCCGCAGGCCTCCGATGTCTCTACCATCCGCCCTCGAGCTCGGCCAGACTCCGAAGTAGCTCCCACTATCATCGGCAACTCCCCAGACTTCGACACACCTCCTAGAACCCGCTGGGTTCGCCCCAAATCTGCGTCATCGAAGCCCAACCAGATGACTGACCCGGTCCCGAGACTCAAGATCCGCTCGCGTCAGCACATCTCGAACGACGACCGCGGACGGCTGCCGCTCCGCCGCCGGCGCCGGGCACTCCGGGCGGCGCGGCGCACCGTCCGCCAGCGCGCCGGCGGCCCAGGTCAGGGCTGCAGGCTTGGGGCTGTGTCCGTCCACCGACGGGCGACGGCGGCGACGGGCACCCGCCAGCGGGCGGGACCTGCGGGTCCGGACACGGGTGCACGGTTCGTGCCGCCACGGCCGAAGGCGCTGTGGCGGCGCGGAGGATATCGGAGCGGCCGCCACCGTCGGGCGTCCCCGCTTGACTTGCTCCGTGACCTAGCAAACGCTGGTGCTCCGTCGTCGAGCGACCCCGTTCGACCTGCCGCCGGACCTGGCCCAGATGGCGCGCCGGGCCGAGGAGGCGCTGGAGCGGCACGTGGCGTGGCACGTGCTCAAG